GGGGGACTGCCTCATTTGTGGCGCTGTTGAGGACATCTCCATCAGCAGCATTGATCACCATCCATGTCAACTTTTGGAGACTTTTGAGGGTTCTGCGGGGTGGTCACTGGAGAAGTCTGCATCCGCAGCGGGAGCATCAGAGCAGTCAGGAAGCAGGACGTCATCTGTAATTTTTAGAGAAGACAAGAGCTTCTCAAGGGTCTGGCGCCTTTGGACATGGTTAGGTATCATTGTGTTGGCCCTCTTATTTTGGGAGACAAGTCTTGACCACCATTGCTGCTTCCTCTCCTTGTTATCAACCTGTTCGTTCTTGGTCATCTTCATGCATTGTGGGAACAGGCAGGAATTTTAGATTTCTGGCTGGAAGCCAGATAGCTGCTTCCTCCCCTGTGGTGAAGACACATCCAAATCCTCTTCCCATTGTAATTAACGGGTCTGGGCCCTCCATTGGGATGTTAGAGGGTCTTTCCATTTGACCTTAATGTGGGGCTTGGGGTTTAGTGACCCCAATGCTTTTGAAAATTAGATTGGGTTGCTCCCTTAGAAAGCTTCAAAATATTAATAGTAAATAAATCCATTCATAGTTGTAAATGGGGGCTGATTCCCCCTTTTGTTTTAAAAGTTGTTCTTTAGGACATTGATGGTTTCTCTATACAATTGCTTGTCCCTGAGGGATTGACACCCAGGGTCTCAGTCAATTAATCTTCCCCAGTAAGCGCTCTGAGGCTGGGTCAGGGTCATAGACCCAGGCACCTCCAGGACAGGCTTAAGTGGGCTTGCCTGTGTCAGCATGAGGTGCAACCCAAGTACTCTGAAGGGATGCGCCTCATTTCCTTTTCTGGGGCAATAGTAGAGCCCCCTTTTTTAAGCAATTGGAGCACCTGTGTTACAAAGCTGATATGCTGGATCCCGGTGTCCCAAAATGAAATCATCCATATAAGCGTATATTGTTGAACCCTTTGACTTTAGCACAGGCCTTAAGAGGGTAGCAAGATACTGTGGACAGAAAGCCGGGCTATCAGCCATTCCCTGTGGCAGCTAGACGGATCCCCAAAGGGATGAGCCACGGAAATGAGGAGAAATTAGAGCCAAGGGAATAAAGGCATTTTCTCCCCCAGAACTCATGAGGAAGCTCGGGTCTACGGGGATGCCTAGCATCTCATGGAGCGGACAGAGACCCTAGTTTGGAGTGGGACAGTTTTGCTAGACATTACAATGTCAACCCTGAGGTGATCCTGACTTGGGGTTTCATCAAAAAGCAAGCAGGTCAGCAAAGGCCAGAAACGTCAATCAAATAACCACGACTAGACAGATCAGCATCTGTCAGCACCACAAACTCAAGTTTGGAGACAATATTTTTTTGCTCTGATGTTTTACTCTCTTGGCTTTTTGGGGGGCCCACCACCCAGCTCCCAAATAAATTATACATTGAGGCTTATTCTTCTTTGGAGTGCCCGGCACTAGCTTGGCTTGTTTCTTAAATTAACCCGTTCGCTTTTCCCCTCTGGGCTTGTGTCTTTCTTACTTCTGCATATCATACTCTCCTTCTTAATCCGTGGCTGGGTGGCTGGCCCCTGAAGTCCTCCTCTCTCTGTTCTCTTATTGCTCCTCTTCCTTGGTTTTCCTTCTATTTATCCTCCCTGCCTGCTAGCCCCACCTATCCTGGCTCCTGCCTCACTATTGGCCGTTCAGCTCTTTATTAGGAAGACCACCAGGTGTTTTAGACGGGCACAGTAACACAGCTTCACAGAGTTACGCAAATGCAGCATAAATGAAAGTCACGCACCTTAAAATAATATCCCCCAACACAATCTATATTGCTATACCTTTTTTATGTGTGCGTGTCATGTTCATGCGCAACATGCATGTACAGGAAAATGGGCGTTTGCGTACACATGCATGCGGACATCAAAGGTTGATATCAGGTTGCTCAGTTGCCCTTCGGTTCCCGACTCTGCAGCTCGCTGATTAAGCTAGGCTGGCTGCCTGGCTGGCTGGTCCCTGGTACCCTCTTATCTCTACCTCCCCAGAGCTGGGATTACCGACATGCCACCACTCCCTGCTCTTCCCTCATGCTTGGGTGGCAAGCGTTTTACCAGTTAAGCTATCGTACCAGCCGTTTTACTTCTAACACTTTCTATTACTATTTTATATGTGTCTTTTGCCTGCTTGTATGCACGGGTACATCAGTGCCTGGCGCCCTTGGGCATCAGATCTCCTAGAACTGGAGTACCAACAGTTGTGAGCTGCCCCTGTGGGTGTTGGGAACTGAACCGAGGTCCTTTGGTAGAACAGCTGAGCCGTCTCTCCAGCGTCTCCCGCCCCTCCCCCCTTTACAGAGCACTGTCCTTCCTCTCTCGCCATTGGTTCACAGGTGTCAGTACGCATTAGCACCATCTGGAGGACTTGCTAAAACGGATTACTGGCCCTGGCTCTAGAGCTTCTGTTTCATTGGTGCCCAGGATAAGGCCTGGGAATTTGCATTTCTGAGAAGTTATCAGATAATGCTGGGGCAGTTAGTCCTGGGGTCAGGTTTTAATAAAGCTACCTTAAAGTATTCCCTAACTGGATTTGCTATGCGCAGATGATTGCAGCAAAGGCCTGCCGTGCCAGCCCACAGCGAGCGGGTGGCTTTGTAGACATCACTGTCCCAGCCTTGGTGAGGGAACTGCAGTGAGAGAGGACAGTGTGGACCAGAGGGAGAGAAATCACAGTGCTAAGGAACAGGTCACTGAGAATGAGTCAGCAGATGGTCCTGGGTGAGCTGTGCTGGGCAGCCAGAGGAGCGAGACCAGAGAGCCGTGTGAGGGCAGAAGTCAGACGGGTACAGCTGTTGTCAAGATCCACAGGCTGCTTGGCTGGCCTGAAGGAAAAGAGCTACAGAAACAGGGGCAAGAAGCCAGAAATGAGCTCCTAGGGTGTGACAGTCTGGTGATCACATTTCAGGGCGACTCTTGTCTCCAAAACCCTCTTTAGTCATCCTTTGGTAGTGCCTGTGGTTCAAAAAGTGCCTGGGGCACCGCTATGGTAGGGGTGAGGTGACACTTTGGAGATGAGACCAAACAAACGCTCTTTCCTTCTTGGTGATGGGTCCATGGTGTCAACCAAGGGTGGCAGTTTGACCTCCAATGCTCTACCATCGCAGGCGACATTTCTCACGCCTGGAAAATGACTCAGCTTCCATGTTCAGAGCTGCCCTCGGAGCCACCAGCACTGGGTTAGTGGGTGGATATCTGGCTTCTGTCACTAGTCCTTATGTAATTGGGGTTAGGAGCTGTGGACAGCAGATTCCCCTCCTTTGACACCAAGAGGGGCCTTCCCTGGAGGACTGCAAGCCACCCCTTTCTTTCAGCCGGCAGGAGTAAAGTTGCACACACGCTCTCCTCAGCCCCAGGCTTCCGAGAGTGAAGACCTTTCCTCAGCCCCAGGCTTCCAAGCATTGTCTACCTGTCTTGAATGAAACCATTGTTTCCCTTTGTATCTTTTATCCCTTTCCATACATTTCTGTTCAGTTAAGAAAGGATCTTTGAGTGTTGCCTGCCCTGTGCTGGGGCGGGGGATACAGGTATGATAAAAAGAAGTTTTTGTCTTAAGAAACCACAACTCTGGTAGAGGCATAATTAAAACATTTCAATGTAAGTATGATTCCTCGAAAGCCGCTCATGCCTCCTCGAGGCCTGCTTTCTCACTGTTCTTCTGACTAGCTAGTCTTCTGTAGACTCTTTTGTGTAACTCTTACCCAGGTCAATGCTGAGTAATGTCAGCAAGCTGAACCCTACTTATTCTGAGCCCATTAACTAACTCCATGCAATTTATTTGTTTACTTTGTTCATTTGCCTCGTGAAATTTCCTCCTTTGTTAATTTTTTGCACGTGTATGAGTGTGCTGTGTGTCCGTGTATTCCAACATGTGGGCACACGTGCAGGGACACCTGGGTGTCGGTGTGTCTGTGGTGGCTTGGCTTTCATGTGGGTTCTAGGTTCTGGGTATGTTAACTCTAGTCCTCACTCAGTCTTGCCATACGAGAGCTTTATCCACAGACCCATCTCCCTCCCCGATTCTCTCACAAACTTTCCTTTCTAACAGCCTCATGGATTCTTGTCCTTTTCCAAATGAAACTGTAAGCTCTTTGAGAACAGGCCTTTTCGCTGACGATGTGTGTAGAACCACCCAACTGTTACCTAATATGCCCAGATGAAACTTGTCTCTCTGGAGAAACTTTCCAAGCCTCCTGTCCTCACCCCCAAGCTTTCTAGAATCTTGCTTGCCTGCTGCGGCCATCCTAAACAGATTCTAATTTGCTGCCCCACTGTCATTTACCTCCGGCACTGTGTCCCGGGCAGTTCAGACACAGTATTTAACCTGCACTGTGCTTGGCAAGGTCTGCATTCCTCTGTTACCATTATTATTTACTATTATTCCACAGATGACACAGGATCACGGAGAAAGCCTGGCCCACGAGGTGCGAGCGGAGCAAGGGCAGCCAAGGCCACAAAGTCCATAGAGTCCCATACCGAGGTTCCCGTAGTAACTTCCTCCTACCCCTTGTCCTGGGGCCCCTTTCAGGTTTCCACCATGCTCAAGACCCTTCTGCACATTTCCTCCCGCCGGAGGAGAGCTGGCCTCCCCTATGGGGACAGCCCCTCCCAGGCTAAGCGGAGAGATGCTGCGGGTGGGGTGCGTGGAGCATCCTGGGCAGAGCGCTAGCCCCTGGACCCTCCGCACAGGCCTGGCTGCCGGGTTCCCAACGGCTCGTCGCCCAGACCGCAGCAGCGAGGGCATGGGAACAGGGACGCCAGGAAAGAGGCCGCGGCAGCAGGAAGGAACACAAGCGCATCGGCGGCGTTCTGGCCTCCGCGGGAGCGGGTGCGGATGCCCGGGCGCACGCTCGCACGCTCGCGCATGCGTGGCGGCGCGCTCGACCCATCCCCTCCCTCCCGCGAGCCGCCCTTTCACCCTGGCAACCGCGGCTCGGCGGCGGCAGCGGCGCGCGCGCGCGGGCTGGGCGCGGACGGGCGGGACCTCTGCGGGACGGGACCGGGCAGGCGGCGGCCGAGCTAGCGGGTCTCGAAGGCTCTTCAGGCTCCTCCTCTCTCGGTTCCGGCGACAGGTTGCACCCGGATCGCCATGGACTCGCAGAAAGTAAGTGGGGGGCTCGCCCGGGTGGGCGGGGCGCGCGGGGCTCGGCGGCGGAGGGCGCGGCCCGGGCCTGGAACCCACCCGACTCCACCCGGCCCCACCCGGCCGGACCCGACCGAGGGCCCGCGGGGTGCGGGGGGCCGCGCCCGGGACCCAGTCCGGTCTCTGCCCAGCCTTTGGCTCCGGACGGGGACTGCGGGGAGGAAACCGCAAGCGGCGTCGAGGTCCCCGCCGCCCTCTGCGGCCGCCGGGCCCTGCTCTGCCCCGTGCAGCCCGCAGCGCGCCCCGAGGCTGGGTCTCCCCGCGGCTGCCTGCCGCGAGGACCCTGGCTCCTCCGTCTCGCGTGGGCGCCGCCCCGCTGGCGCCCCGGTCGGTGTCCTTTTTCCTTCCACCGAGTCTGAATTCAGCCCGGCCCCTGCTCTGTAGGTCCGGGGACCGAATCTCCTTTTGTACCGCTGCCCACGGCCTCGCTCGTGGCTTGTTTATAAGCCGATCTCAGTGTTCGCCGAATTGAGGGGAAAAAGAAGGAAAAAAAAAAAAAAGAAAGAAAGACAGACAGTTGTCAGCCGCCCCACCCTCATCCTCCAGTTGGTGTAGCTGGTCACAGTGACCCACCCAGGGGTCTTGAGGAATGTTTTAACACTTGGAGAGCAACTTAAGGAAAGATCTGCAGAGTAGCCTTTTTTGATTAAGAAAAATACTCGAAGGATATAGCCAGTGTATTGAATACAATTGCAGTTGAAATTTTAACATTCAGTCGTAATCTCTGTATAGAAAAAAAAATAAACCACCCTACTCTCTTTGTTATGTTATAGTGTAATTGCAATATACTCCGGTATAGGAAAGAAAAAAAGTGTTATTAATAATGTAGCAGGAAAAACAAGGACTCATTTGATACATCGAAATGTGCCTCTTGGTGATTTGGGGGTTCAGAATTTGGACACAGCACATTTAAGAGGCCGTTCTTTTTTTATCATTGAATAGGAAGTGCAGAAAAGGCAGAAAAGGCTTATAGAGCAACTGTGCAATTTCGAGCTGGATTCACCTGCCAGGGATGTGGGGCATTAATTATACAATGCATCAAGCGTTCACTGTTGCGGTATTTAGCAGAAACGTGCACTATTCCATTGTGTGTGCCTGTCTTGAAACCCATTTGGAGGTATCATCTCCGGAACAAGTACTATGATACCTTCTAAAGATATTATTATAGCATATTAAAAGTTGCATGTATTCTGAGTATGTGTAAGTTTAAAACGTTCTCCGCCTAAGCGTGTGAGATATCGTACAGCTCGTTAGAGAGCAGGCGTGTGGTATCTGAGTGGACATTTACAAAGGTTAACTGGAAGAGCAAGCGGCTTGGGAATCCAGAAAGGTGAGCCGCAGGGTACAGTGTATTTCCTAGCTGTGTGTACAGAGCAAGTCACCCACCAGTGTCTTTGATCGTCCATCCTCTAGAAGGGAGAAAATTGTACAGTATTATAAAAACTGGGTAAAACATTGCATTATGAAAACAGTATTTTAAATTTTGTGAATATTCCATACTTAAATAGTCCATGCATGGTAAAATACTAAAAAAGGATTTCAGTGTAGATCATCTTATCAGGGGACACTGAGGAATCAAGAGTTCGTGCCAGTAAGCTAAGGTTGGAACCAGGCTGTTCCCATTTCAGACAATGCATTTGTGCACCCGTAGGGTACCATATGTAGTTTCCCCACAGGCAGTAAAGAATTAGCTGTTTTGGTTTTTTTTTTATAACTGCTGATGCATCTTATTGGAAATAACTCTAAAAGTCAACTATTCAATATTAAAAGTATGTTGCACTTCATTGGAGGTATCAGGTGGTCTTTCTAATGAAGAGAATTTGTTTTACAGCTTACAGTGGATATCCAGGGTTAATGCTTGTAGCTCCCGCTGCCAGCCTGAGCTTCCTTTCCTTATGAATTGCTGTAGAATAAGTTACTTGTCTCAAATAGTAATGAACTAAGCTGGATATTCCTGTCTGTTACACAAGAGAGTAGTGCATCCATACCACGAGATTAAGATACTGTTTCCTCTTATAGAATGTACATATTAAAATGGCAGCAGAGAATATACCCCAGTCAGTAGACGAAATGGTTACATGCTGTAATTGGCAAGGAAGTCCTTGGGACTTAGGTTGTGAGTTATTTAAGAAGAGCCAGTTCTCTGGTTATACTGCTTACGAGCTATAATAGCTTGGATAATTTGCCATTAGTCTCCATTTCTTCATCTATAAAACACAAACAACCGAGGACTCTCTTTAAGAGTTATGAACATGTGTTCATTTCTAGAAAACCACCTAACAGTATTACTGTTAGCTTTTGTTAATCTCATAAGCTCAACCTCAAAATAACCTTTTCCTTTTCAAATCCACCTAGCCTTCTTTAACCTTAAGGTGTGTTTTCTACTTGTGTATCTTTTCAGAAATTATTCCAGCAGGTGGTGCCCGGAAGCGATTGTAAATTACCAATAGCCAGAGGACAGAGAGTTGTGACTCAGGCAGTCTTACAATAAAGACTTCACTGGGTGTTTCACAGAAGCTGCAGGCTGGTCAGCACATGGGCAGCTTCACCAGCTGCCTTTTCTGTCTGTGGAAACGACTTGGATGTCAGTGTTTTGTTAGCAACAGACGTTCTATTTCAGTGGAGGAAGAAGACACAGTTGGTGCGGGTATATAAGGCAAACTGTAGGATACAGAGGCAGCATTATCTCCTAGAAATGAATGGAGGGGTTTTGTTTATCCTGAGTGTCTGGGACACTTTTGTGAGCAGGATGTGTTATGGATAGGTGGCTTTGTTTGATCCCCAGACCTTTTGAATATGTCCTTAAGTGGTTCTGAGATTAAATCTCGAGGGTTTCTTTACCTGACGGAATGTGCACATTCAGAGGAAACCCTGAAATAAACAAGACAGTTGTCCTCGTGGGTACCTTTTGAAATTGGTAGTGCAAGTTAAATTTTGGTACAGATCACTGATACTCATAGGGTTCCTGTTTCCAGGAAAGGTGCCCTTAGAGCAATAGGCAGGATAGGGACAGAGGGAGGATGTCAAGCATGCTCTGTTAGCTGCTTTTCCGATGGTTTCTGCATGTTCTTCTACCCAGGGAGGAACTCAGAGGTCTCCTGTGTACTGCAGGGTTAGCCTAGACTCGGGAGATCTGCACTTGGCGTCCTTACTTGTATCCTGATACCTGCTGTACAGTTGAAAGACCACCCCACATCTTTGTAATTATCCAGTTGACCCATGTTCCAGAGTAAGTTGTTCTCAATTTATAAAAGGAAAATAGTTTCCCAGAGAAAGTGAGGAAGAATGAAAATTGGGTATTGTTCTGCATCTGTTACTGTGTCAGACTCCCGTGAACTCTCACAGCAAATGCTTTTATAGTTTGCAGAGCCACAGGCAAAGGGCAGCGTGGATTCAAACCAGGTGCTTTTTTCATAGTCCACTCTTTTTCACTCCTCCCCTTCAGGACTGAATTCTTAGCTAAATACTAAATACAGGATTCTAAATGAAGCAGTAAGGTAGTTGAAATTTAAAATGTCAGCCCCTAACAGTTAGGGGCTAGAGAGATGGCTTGGCCATTAAGAGCTCTTCCTTTTTTTTTTTTTTTTTTTTTTTTACGAGACAGGGTTTCTCTGTATTGTTTTGGAGGCTGTCGGTCCAGCCTGGCCTCGAACTCACAGAGATCCGCCTGCCTCTGCCTCCCGAGTGCTGGGATTAAAGGCGTGTGCCACCACCGCCGGGCTCTTCCAGCTCTTGCAGAGGACCAGAGTTTGGTTCCCAGCACCCATATCAGGTAACTCACAATCGCCTGTGATTTCGACTCTGTGGGATCCGATTCCCTTTTCTAGACTCTGGTCACCTGCATGTGCACACCCCCCCACACATACAGATAATTAAAGAGAAAATAACTCTTTTAAGACAGAGTTTTACTAGTTTGGTTTGTTTTAGAGACTTGTCAAGTATAGCGAAGTCCTGATAGCTGGTGAGACCTTAAGTTGGAGGAAAGTCTGGCAACTGGTCTGTCTTGCTGTCCCTGATGGGACCTCTGCACTGCAGGAGCTTCTCTCCTCCCTTACTTCTTTTCCTTTGGGAGGGTGAGGTGGGAACCTTACCCCTGAAAAGTAGCGCTGCAGACAGTGAAGGGCAGTGTAAATGAACACCACATGAATGTTCGTGATCTCCTTACTCACATGTGGATATCTTTGTGTTTTAATTGAACTTGGAAATTTCTAAATTTGTGATAATAAAGCCAGGTGTTTTTTCCTTTTAAGGCTTCAACACAATGCTTCTCTGCAATGCTTGGCTGAATGTAAACAGGATTACTCATGCAGCAAGCACAGAGTGGATGCTCGCCATAGTGATGGGTATTCCACACTGACTGAAGCGGGCTGGCCATACTTTGACGCAGGTGGATTTGTCAGCAGCCCTTGGTATATTTTCACTCAGCCACTTTCCCCAGCCTCAGCATTCATATACGATACTTCTGTCTGTTGACTGATAGTGAACTAATTTTGATATGTAATTGTTTATTTTTAAATACAGTAATTATTATTTTTATTCTTTATTTAATTTAAATTAGAAACAAGTTTGCTTCACATGTCAAACCCAGCTCCCTCTCCCTGCCCTCCTCTCCTGCCCCCCTTCAACCCTCCCCCAATCCCTCCTCCAATCCCCACTCCATTCTCCAAGGAGGGTGAGGCCCTTTACTGGGGATCTCGAAAGTCTGTCGTATGATCTGGGGCAGGGCTTAGTCCCTCCCCCATGACAGCATCCCAAAGTCCATCTGGATGACTGGATGCTGATATATTGCCTGAGGAGTAATTCTTTTTTAAAGTGTTAGCATAACCAGTCTATTAACCTATGTTAGATTACAAATACAAATAATACAAGTTTATTACAGGAAATTTCAGCTATACATAAATGAAACTAAAATCATATAATCCTGTACCTGGAAGATAACCACATTCAACATTTGATTTGCT